TGTTTTTAATAGATGTGGCGTATTATAGGCTAAGTACATTTTGGTATTATGAGCCATGGGTCATTGTCTTGTTGGAAAAAGTAAGACCTCGATAATCCAAGCTTAGCAACACTTGGCACCAAATTTTTTTTTTAATTTCAATATATTTAAGGTGGTCCATCACCCCATCAATTATTTCAAAATTTCCGACACCAGCCGCAGCCATACAGCCCCACACCATAACGCCACCACCGCCATGCTTCACTGTCTTCAGTGTGTGTTTTGGTTGGAGTGCCTCTCCGGTTCTTCTCCACACGCGATGTCGCCCATCCGATCCAAATATATTATATTTGGATTCGTCAGAAAAAAGTACATTACGCCAAAACTCGACTGGCGCATTTTCATACTTTTTGGCGAACTCTAAACGTTTTTTGCGATTAGCGCTGCTTATAAAAGGTTTTCGTCTAGGTGTGCGCGACTTATACCCATTAGCTACTATAGCCTTCCTTATAGTTTCTGGGTGGACGACTTTATTTTGAGATTGTAAAATCTGTGTAGATTTCGTATTTGCGCTAACAAATGGATCCGACGCCACTATTCTCTTAATATTAAGCTGATCTCCGTTTGTTAGCTTGCTCGGCCTTCCGGATTTTCGCTTGTTTTCTACTCGCCCTTCGTATTTAAATCGCCCAATTACGGATTGGATCGTTGACCGACTGCGAGACAATATATTCGCAATTTCCGAATATGATTTCTGCTGCTTAACGTGCATATTTAATATTAGTTGACGTTTTTCTATGGTTAAATATTTGCCCGGCATTTTAAATTAATATTTGTCCGCTTAGCGATTCAAATTGAAGAAAATTTCTTGCAAAATGTGGCGACATTATGCCCGAGCATGCAAATACATACATTGGAAAACAACCGTTATCATTTTCGGTTTCTGTCCGCAGTTAAAGTTCTAGGAAAGTACGGTGTACGAAGACTTTATTGGAGCCAAAATCGTGTCTTTTTATGTACTTTTAGTTATAACTACTAAACTAAGCAACATATTGACATAATTCTTTTTGTAAATTAAGATTAATATATAAGATAATAAGACTGCATCAAAATGTTTATTAGTTTTTTACTATTTATATGTTTTTTTCGTTCCCAAAGAAAAAAGTTGCTGCTGTACAAAGACATTATTGGTTCACTGTATACACTTTGTGGGGTTTGCCACGCCTCCTTCTCATTGTTACATACATTTCAACAAAACCATTATACCCTGATTTCCCATTGAAAATGGGTTCAGGGTATAACAAGTAAGAAAGCTCTAGTCGAAACTTCTCGACTACGACATCCCCTGAACCCTTCGAGCAACGCACGCACTCACACAGAGGCACCCACGAATGGGCAGCAGTCTCTAGTATTTGAAATACGCTTTTTACAAATTTATGGATGAGAGAGAGGAAATAAGGGTGGGGGGTGAATTATAAGAAAAATTGCCATTCTATAAAGTACTTATGAATCTACATTTAAGATTTTGACACTCTAGCTCTAAAGATGTAGGAGATATAATTTTATAATTGATTGTCGATAATGTTTTTTATCGATATATATATGAACATTTAAAAAAATGAAGTTTCTAGTATCGTCTGAAATCGACGCGTTCATACATACCGACAGACGAACAGAGAGATGGAACTGGCCATGTTGACTCAGCTCGTCACTATGATTAAGAATATATATTCTTTCAGTACACTCGAATTACTTCACAAATTAATAATTTTCGAAATAAAGGTCTTGTGTGGAGAATCAACAGAGCTGTACAAATATGGAAATGTTGAAATCGGAAAATATTTGATGAGATATAATTTGTCTTAAATACGTGTTATCTACGTGTTAAATATATAAATTGAGTGTAAACTAAGAAAATATGATTATCATTTTCGCAAAAATTGTAGATAAAAGTATCCATCAAAAAGATTAGAGCTCATTGATATTGATTAAATTAAATAAATATATTTGTTTCAGATATTAAACATGGAGGACGATTCAAATTGGTATCGCGCCGAATTGGATGGAAAAGAAGGGCTTATTCCTAGCAATTATATAGAAATGAAAAACCATGAGTAAACAATATATATATAGTGAAAATCAATTGCACACATCATAACAGATTTGTATATTTCATATATTTAGCTGGTATTATGGGCGCATAACACGTGCCGATGCGGAGAAATTGCTGTCAAATAAGCTAGAAGGTGCTTTTTTAATACGTATCAGCGAGTCAAGCCCCGGCGATTTCTCACTATCCGTGAAGTATGCAGCGTTGAGTACTTTTCCAGTAATGAATATAATATTATCGCATTATTTAACAGATGTCCCGATGGAGTTCAACATTTTAAAGTACTGCGGGACGCCCAGAGTAAATTTTTCCTTTGGGTTGTCAAGTTTAATTCCCTCAACGAATTGGTCGAATATCATCGAACAGCGAGCGTATCGCGATCACAGGATGTAAAATTGCGCGATATGGTACCTGATGAGGTATGCTTTTTTATTAAACCCATTGAATAGAAAATGTTTACTAGTCGAACATATTTATAAACTATAATTTTGTCGGCATTCAATTTTATATCTAAACCCCATATTATTCAAGCTTTTACGGACCTCCTGGTCGGCTTCCGACTTAATTTTTTCATGCTTGTTATACCCTGAACCCATTGAAAATGGGAAATCAGGGTACAATGTTTTTGTGAAAAGTATGTAACAGGCAGAAGGAATCATCGCAGACCCCATAAAGTATATATATTCTTGATCAGGACGACGATATAGCCCTGTCCGTCTGCCCGTCCGTCCGTATGAGCAAAAGGATCTCAGAAGATATAAAAGCTGGAGAGCTGAAATTTGGCATGCATACCCGTGTATACCATAGGCAGTACAAGTTTATCATATTTTTTCGATAGCTCATCCGATAACTTTTTTATCGAGATTAATCGAAAAATCGGCTTTGTTTTTTCAGCCTGAAGACTTCAAATTTGCGTTGTATATATAGTTAATCGATACAAAGATTTTGTAATTTGCAGATTTTGGATACCACGCCCCCTTCGCCCCCAATTTGTAAAAAACGTATTTAAAGTACTAGAGACTTGTGCTTTGGAATGTACACACATTTTGACCACACTCTAAAAGTTTCATAAAGATAGTCTTACTACAAGAGAAATTATTCAACTAATAGATTCTCATAATATTGCCCACACTACAGCGCAGCCCACGCGCAATCGCTGCTAGCTGCGCAGTCAGCAGAGCGCGTGATAAAAAGAATGAGTATAATATCTGCTTGGAGGGTTCGGGGTATCTCCCAGTCGAGCAGTCTCGACTGGAGCCTTCTTACTTGTTTAGAGTATATGTCATTGATAATTCAAAATTTAACAAAACACAAGTAATATTAAAAACTTAACTTAATTTTTCAAATTGAATTATTTTCAACTTTTGCAGATGCTTGTGCAGGCGCTTTACGATTTTGTGCCTCAGGAGTCTGGAGAGTTAGACTTCCGACGCGGCGATGTGATTACCGTTACAGATCGTTCAGATGAGAATTGGTGGAATGGCCAAATCGGCAATAGAAAAGGCATTTTTCCAGCAACTTATGTAACGCCATATCATTCATAATAATCTACACCCGAGCGCACACACATATATGAGCATAAATAAATCGCACTATGAACTGCGAAAGAGAAAGATACCAATTCGTACTACATACAAATATATGTACTAGGCAACGGAGATAAATATTGTATAAACCGAAAGCATTTTTTACATTATTGACAAGCAGTTTATAGCTGTTATATTCTAAAGTTATGCAAAATTACAAGAACTAAACAAAACTGACAAATGAGTCCTTTTTTATTGCAAATATATAGAACATCTCACTATATATGATTAATGTAACAATTATATACATATATATACACTTAAGTTCAATGATATGTATTGATATGTAACTTTCTACAAACACCACTCTAAATGTGCTATTTATTTTCTGTACGCGTGTGCGAGTGAGAAAGATATCAATTTATAATAATTATATATAACAACTTACCAATAAAAATCAAGAAAACTACCACATATTAAAAAAAAATAAATTAAAATAAAGTATGACAACAATTTTGCCTAAATGTCTCATAGCGAGGACATTTAAAACGATTATCATAATAAACTTTAATATATAATATACTATAATAATAATTAAACAATCGATATTTAGTATAAATTTTTCCTCAGTTTCACTATTTACGTGCTTTTTGAATCGTCTTTAAATAATTGTGTAAAATTTACTTTTTCATTTAGTCATGTACGATTTTATTGTGCTTTAAATTTATTAATTAGCCTTTGATCAGTCGAAAATTATTAATTGAAATGCCTCGTAAACTTTTGCTATTTAATATTATTTTTATTTTGCCCACACATTTTATGTTGTCTTAACGTTTTACCAATTTTCCGCACCAATTTATAATTAATGTATGCATAACAATAATAAAAATGAAGTTGCCAATATCAGTAATTACACCGAAGGAAGTAAATTAATATTTTTATATATATTTGCTAACATAAACGAAAATTAAACAAAAAACAATGTTTCCTCATTAAATTTGTTCGACTTATTTGATTTTTGTAGTTATGTATGCACAATTTAATGGACCACTAACAGTAAAACATGTTTTACTATACAAGTAAGTTTTGGGAGTAAAATAAAATTGGAAACAAATATAAAAAGTTAGATTCTAATAATTACAAATGAGAATTGAGTTTGAGAAAAGAAAAATTTAGTACATAATGATTTATCCTATAAAATAAGAAATTACCTATTGCATATATAAAGGCATTTTTCTTGATTTTAAAATAACTGTAAGCGTGTGAATCTTCCCCATCGCCAAGAATCGATAAATTATAATCGATATAATTTTACTTTAAAATGTTCTAGCACCTATACTTTGTCAACACATTTCTGTTTCTTGTCAATAAATTATTTCATTCAGTTGTAAACAAATTTTTAATCGATATAAATTAAAAAGTTTCCCTCATTTTTTGTTAAGGGAAGTTTAGTAGATTTAATGTATGAGTGAACGGTCACATTGCATTCGTAGCGACGACGAAAGGCATGTCAGGCGATATGTAACGCGTATGGAATAAAAAATAATTATTGGACAAAAATATATTTTAGCAAATCATACACGTATTAAGTTACGTACATTTTTTAATCTAACATAAAAGCTGATGCTAAGTTTGGTGTTTTTGTGAAAAATAAGTTTAATTTCCAAAAGCTCTTAAGAATTGTTAATGTGACACAAAAATTTTTACATGCCGCACACACAAGCGCTTTAGAGACTTAGTACATGTACATGTGTATGCAAGCGAGTGAAAATTGCAAAGGCCAGTTAAAGAAAGGCGTGTGGTGCGTGTGTTGTGTGTAGATGAAAGTGCAATATCGATCATTTACGCGCTTTGTCATACAGTCAAGCTGTCCAAAACATTTTTTCTTGGTTTAACCTTTGTCACCCGCTTACTAAATAATGCCGCTACTTGCCTATAAGGAACAACGCATTCTAAGTCCTCAACAACTGCGCAAGCTTAGCGAACATAAATACTCATGCTTCAGCGCAAGTTTGCTAGATCCATTGCTCCAACCGTGGTGGAATTGGTTGGTCGCCCAAACGCCACTTTGGCTAGCGCCCAATCTCATAACAATCGTCGGTCTAATACTCAACATTGTGACAACGCTGATATTAATTTGGTGAGTGCTTCTTTTAAATCTTTTTATTGATTAAAGAACTGTATGCATATATAGACTATATACATGTGTATATAATACATACTGTGCGTATTTTTGTTCCTACATATAGATTAATTTTTCAAACTCATTGCGTGGTTTATGGGTGGCGTGTTTTCCCATTCGTGGAATTAAATAAACTATTGTTTTCCTATGGTATTCTTTAACAATATTATGTTCATCTTACGCTGATCGATCTCAAATTCTCGATTACAACTTGATATTATAGATTTAATAGGTAGGTTGTAAGCTGTATGTTATGTGTTGCAAACAAATCATTTCATAATGCAGGGGAATTCAGATATGATCATGCCATAACTTTCGTAGGTGGGTGGGTCTCAGGAAAATGGCGACTATGATTAGATACGAAATATATCGCTTACGTTACCGTTTGCAGCTGAAACTTATTTTAAAATGATCGGTCATTTTGTTTTGTTAAATTAGGTTAATTTAATACATTCATGATAAGAGAACACAAAAAATCAGTGCACTAATCAGTGAGCAGATATTTTTACGTTGATAATTCGGCTTTTTGCTCATGTACCGTCAGACTTTCTATGGGATCAATTTAATTAACCCTATGAATAAATTACATTCAAGTACATTTGCAATGCTCTCTGTTGCTTGATCGATGATTGCTTTGATTGAATTAAATTAAAATTTGCATTTCAAATTTATTCCCTTTTGGTAGAAAAAATATAAAAATCTATCACCATTTAATATAATGAACAAATTTGGTGAGCTTAAAATGACTTTTGAATTAAAACATTTTTAGTTCGAGCAATGTTAAGAATAACAATTGATTTACTAAAAATGTACCCTAGTGCACGTGTTGTTATTTATAATAAAAAGGCGGCAATTGAGTCTTTAAGTTAACATTCACTCTATGCTATCATTTCTCAATCAATTGGTCAAATTCTACTTGAATAACTAACTAACTAGTTTATTTAGTACTGTTTACTTGACATTGGGTCTTCACGTTCTCAGCTCTGGTATTATTTTAGTAAAATGGTCTTTTAGGTAAGACGGTAAGCATACGAGGGCAAGCACAAAACTTCTTTATCAGCTAACTGATGATGGCAGTGAATTACTCTGAAGCTTAATGACACTGAAACACAAGCTTGATTCTTTTACTGACGTCGACAAAAGCGGGCAAATGGTCCACATTCATTGCATTGAATTTATTCGACCCTCACAATTAATTAGATTAGGCTGCAAATCTCGGATGTTGTAATTATTTATTGTGGATGTATCAACAAAATTTTCTACTGAATTGCAGCTACAGTCCGAACGGAGTCGAGCCGCCACCACGTTGGACATGCTTTCTCTGTGCTCTTGGGCTCTTTGTCTATCAGAGTTTAGACTCTATAGACGGCAAACAGGCGCGGCGCACCAACACTTCGTCACCGCTAGGTGAGCTCTTTGATCATGGCTGTGACTCCATATCAACTATATTTGTGGCTCTTTCGGCGTGTATATCCTGCCAACTAGGCCACTACCCGAACTGGCTGTTTTTCCAGGTATTGATGAACTTTCCTTTAAATAACAAGTTAGTAAACTTTAACATTCGTTGTTTGTTGCTTTCAGTGCTTCTGTGCGATAGCATTATTCTATTGTGCCCACTGGCAAACTTATGTGTCTGGAACGATGCGATTTGGACGCATCGACGTGACTGAAGCACAATTTTCGATTATTGCCATACACTTAGTTTCCGCTATTTTAGGGCCGGAGATTTGGTTGACCAAGGTAAGTCATTTTGGGTGGATTACATTTATACATAAATAATATATATTTTGTTAAGACTCAGCATTTTCAGCAGATATCTAATAGAGCTCTAGCATCTATATAGTGTATATTATATTAAATTAGAGAAAGACGCGAGTCTCTCTGTGAAGTTATAATTATGTTTGTGAGTTATTAGTGTTGGACGATATTGCGTTTCTTTAATTCCTTTTTTGTTATAATATACTTTATCCAATATTAAATGAATATTATATACATGTTTAATTTAAGATGTATTGCCGATATTCTTTTTAAGTTGTGTGCGCTTGGCTTCGATTTATTGAGCTTATTTCTTGGCCTGACATTTGCTATCTGAGTTCGTTAAGTAGTAGCATTCCTGTACTTTGTTAAGTAACGACATTATTTAAATTGAAACACTAAAATGAAATACACTAAATTAACGAAGCTAAATGCAACTATAACTTAACCTAAATTATATTTTTAATCACTTTTAAATCATAGATACATAAAGTATAAACAGTCTTAATACCTTTTACTTTTATGTTATAAACAAATGTGTTCCACTGCCACAACAATACAACACAAAATGTCTAATCTTCTAAAAACAACAAATATTTTATATACACTTACGATCAATCGTAAAAAAAATATATATATATATCTATATATATATTTATATATATATATATATATATATATATATATATATATATAGGTTGGCTTTGGCAAGATTGAGCTTTGGTATGGTCCGGCTATAACGACCATTGTGTGTGGTGTAATATCCTTAACATATGTATTTTCCATCGTTGTCGCCGGCGGTGTTGGCAAAAACGGCTCCACAGTTGCTGTAAGTTTAAAACACTCTTAAACAATCGAATACTATACATTTAAGGATATATCAGACAGCCGCTAAGAGCACAGCTCACTAAGTGACTTGTAACAAATTTTCCGGGCTTTATTTTGATCATAAATATATTGAGCTGAAATAGAATAATCATAATCATTCGTATGTTCAGCACAGTGTTTGGAAAAGTTTTATATATAGATAGAAATAATCTTGTCGGCGAGCTTCCTTATTAGTGCAAAATAAATTGGTTTGCTTCTTAGCCTGTAAATTGTATAAAAAACTCCAAATGCAATAAAGCCTTATAATCGAGAAGAAAATTATTTTACAGTAAAGCCCCAGAAATTTGTGTACGTTGTCCTCGGCTGATAGCAAACACAAAAGACACAGCACATACAACAAAAATTATTTTGGCTTATAATTTGAAAACGGATAGAAATCAAAATAAAATTTACATTCCGGGCGTTTCGTGGAAGCGTGGAGTGGGTTCTTGTTTTCATTCTCTTTCTGATAACTCCTATTGCTTGCCCCTACTTATTTACTATTTTAATATTAAAAATTATACTTCTATTTCTGCTATTTCTACTCGCCTTGTGCGTGCGTTAAATCATACTGAAATACCTAATATTGATTATGTCTTACCTTGGCATGCTTGAATTCTGTTGACTGCCTAAACTATAATTATATAGGATGTTATTATAATATAGACTACATTATATTTTGTTTCGTATTTTGTTTCGTAGGCATTGTTTAAGTATTATTATTCTCTATATGTATGTGACTGTATGTCTTCATATTATGGGCTACTGGTTTTAGTTTCAGTTTTATTGTAATCCAAAATTACGTATTTTATTTTTAATAGCTTAATGTTGAATTGGTCAAATATCTGTAGAAATTTAATGTGACTATTAATTTCTATTTAGAGCTAAAAAAAAATTGTCGCCTTGCTGCATTATGCTAGATGTTATATTTGTCAGTTATTGTGTCATTTACCGTAAATCTGTGACTGAAATTAAAGCTTTTTTTTTTTTTTTAATACAACAGTACATATTTTTTTAGCTCAACCTATGATTTAATAGTTGGGCGGCTAATATCTATAAATTAGAAATCAATTGTAAAAATATTCTAATTTGTTTTGTTTTGTTTAATGTGGTTATTATTGTTTATATGTTTCGTTCTGTGATTTTTATTTCCATCTACAATAGATTCCTATCTTGGGAGTTTCGTGGAATTATACCATATTAGTATTTATCACTTTCGGTTATACCTTGAATATAATCAATTTTCAAAAAATGTTTATTGAAGGCGGCAGTGGCAAAAACGGCTCATCAGTTGCTGTAAGCATTGTTTTCCATTGAAAGTACAAACGTTTCAAACCCCTATATGTCTTTACTAAAACACTAAATCATGCAAACTAAAAAATGTATTGGATTAAATCTAATTATTAGATTAATTATTAAATTAAAAATAGTTCTTTAACATCAACACACGGACACTTGGCTTTAACACCTAATCCAATTGCATATATTATTAATTTACTTGCATATGCTGAACCCATTGAAAAAGGTTACTCTGTTTCTGGAATTGTATATGTCCAACTGGAAATCGAAATTAGCTGAGGCCGCAAACCCTATTGTTAATATTATCATATTCATTCGAATAATTAAAGTAGGAACCATAACTGTCTGAAGACCAGTCTCTTAACAGATTGGATCGCTCTCTTACCCAATTACCCAATGTCATTCAAGCCGAGCAAGCAGTGGTGGTGTGGGTAGAGATGGTGCGCGTCGCCAAAAAGTCTTGTGATCAATGCTCGTCGATTTTAGGCGTTCTTTAATGCTGTTGATTGAATAGTTTTTCACTTTTATAAGACGGGCATCCCGAAAGAAGGGAAGAGTCTTCTATACCGTACAGAGTGTTTATGCAGGCAGGGCTGTTATAAATAAAATCAATAATAATAATAAATTTTCAAGTCTCTATAGCTCTTATATCTTCTGAGATCGACACGTTCATACATACGGACGGACGGTCGGACAGACAGACGGACAAGACTAAATCGACGAATCTCGTCGCGCTGATCAAGAATATATATACATTATGGGTCTGCCACGCGTTCTGCCTGTTACATACTTTACATTATACCCTGATTTCCCATTGAAAATGGGTTAAGGGTATAATTAAGCCTATTTTTTTTATATAAAAAATGTAATATGTACTAGAATATATTTTAGACATGCACTCCTAGGATTAATTGTTAGCTTTAATTGAAATTAACTTAATAGATCGCTTAATTAGTATTTCAAGTTATTCAGGCAGCGATTATTTTATTAAAATCTTAGACTACAAATTAATTTTTTTTTCTAAAATTTTCATTTTTATATTAAGCGGTTTGTTGAATATCTGTTGAAGTTGTTATCAATTTATATGATTTTCTATCCTAAATATTTTTTTTTTTTTTTTTTTTTTAACTTTCAAAAATATTGACAACGATTTAAAAAATTTATCAATTTAATCAGATGCCTTATCTCGAGTGTGAAACACGCTGCTTGCCGTTCTATATGGCCAGTGGAATTGACTTGAGTTTAGCATTACGTTACTCGAAATCAATTTTGAACGAAGGCTGTGGAAAGAATGGATCATCCGTTGCAGTAAGATTTAATATATTCGTATAGCACAAATACCGAAGGCATTCTAATTAGCTTGATTGCTAGACAAGTAGATGATTTTATTTTAGGATGAAGTATTGTTCATTACTTTCAAATAGATTTGGTGTGGCTAATTAGTTATTTATACCCTTATACGACAACACTTTCAACCAATTATAAAGATCTGTAAGTCTGTCTCTATTTCGGGTCAAGTGATGTATTGTACATTGTTTCTATGCCTGATGATATCCTGCCAAATGGTTCAAAATTTTAAACAATAATATCGCAAAAAAAAAAATAAAAATGTAAATATATATATATATATATATATATATATATATATATATTTACATTTTTATTTTTTTTTGCGATATTATATATATATATATATATATTATATATATATATATATTATATATTATTATATATATATATATATATATATATATGAATTTGTTGTTCAGTTAATTTGTATAAGACTGTAAGGGTTCTCCTCTTCGGTAATTCGAAGCTATCTAAGTTTTATTTAAGTTACTTTTTGTAATTGTGGTTTCTGCTGATGCACGTCCCATTCATGTTTATTTGTTACCATTCCTGGTTAAGTCATTTGGTATTGGATGACTTCAATTGTGCTTTCTTGTGTATCTGGCTTGGTTTACACGGCATATGACTCAACCACTCACCAGTCACCACTCACTAACTCATCCACTAATTAGCGCTAGACACTGCAACTTACTGTTACCTTCAAAAATAAATGTCACATAAGAGCCAACAAAAATAAATTTTGTTAATAGTTAACGTGTTTGCTGTAGATTTGCAAAATGTGCAACAATTTGCAAGTCTACTCAACAAAAACAATGTAGCACATTTTTTTCTTTTTGCAATAAAAAAAATGTATACTAACATACCAATCCCAACTATATAAAGGGTACCAGTGTACTATCGCCTAGTATACCACTTACTCTAGTGGTCCTACCGGCGCTCATGATTGCCCAAAAGTCCCCGGATAATATTTTTACGGAGCACGCTTCTGTTTTTATTCTGGCCTTTGGCATGGTAGCGGCAAAAATTACGAATAAACTAGTGGTAAGTTTTTGTACAGCTACGAATATATTTGAAATCTATTAATATTACTTGTTTTGCAACGCAGATTGCCCACATGACGAAAGCTGAGATGGAGTATTTGGACTGGTCATTACTGGGCCCAGCATTATTGTTCCTCAATCAGTACTTTAATTGTATTGTGCCAGAGATTTGGTTGCTTTGGTTTACGCTAGCCTGGGGCACTCAGGATTTACTACGTTACTGTGCGCAGGTTTGTTTAGAGATTTGCCAGCATCTACGGATCGACCTGTTTAGAATACCGTATAGCGCCAAGGTCTCGAGCACCTCGTCGGTGGGCAGCCAGATAAATTTCGGAGTGGATAAGAATGGTAGCACATCACACCGAAAGTCTAAAAACAAACTACACTAACTGTATGCTGCATCCATTCATTAAAATTCCTAAGAAAGTTTCAAATATTTTCGGTGTTAAAGGAAGTTTAAACAGTTTTAAGCTTAACCAAACAAAATTTACCGTCGGAATGTTAATTCAGCAAATAATAGTATAATTAATTTATAAATGTTGTAACCAAAAAGATAAAAGATAAACTGGAGGCAGATCTAACCATATATATATATATATATATATATATATATATACATATATATTTGGTGTATAAATATATTTTATATAGTTATGTAAATTGTAAAAACTAAAATATCCTGCAGTTTTTAGTGGAAAAATGAATGGCGTGCTTTAAGCTCAATTAACTGTTAAGTCAAAGCGATTAGTTTTTGGAATTCCTTCATTAAATGATGATTTTCTTTGATTTAATTGGGCAATCGTCTGATACTGAATCATATTTCTGTTATATTATTATTTAAATTCGTATAGGAAATTAGTGCTTTATTTCTTACTCACTGAAAGAATATACCATTCTATAATGTATGTACTATATATATTAAGATATTAGTACTGAAGTATATTATATTAATTTGTGTAGTAAGCCAATAATCATTCTAAGTGGTCACTGAATTAAAAATGCATTCGGTTTTGATTTAACAAAATTTATGTTGTATTCAAATAAAGAAATAAATCTTGAGCAATAGAAACTATTGGAATTCATAAACGGTTATTATTTCACAAACCACTACACAAATTACATGAATTTCAATACTTATCGATAAACGTTTGCAAATAAAAAATCAATTCATATGTATGTAGTATGTACACATCGTTCTAAAAGTTGCTTCAGAGATTGCCGTAGGTTTTGCAGAAATATGCGACTAGTGCCATGTCGCGAACCTCTAAAGTGACCCGACTGCGATATTGCGTTAGCAAGTAAGCATCTTGAAAGCGCTGCGTTAAGTACATCTCGGTTGCGGTCTGCACAGCCTCCAGGGCGCCCGTGGTTATTTTGAATGGAATTTTTGAATGTTGTATCAGAATTTCACGCAACAGGCGTGAAAACGCTAATCGGGGTATCAAAAATCCCTGGTGCTTTTGTAAACATTCAATTTCACGGTGTAGTTTTTTCAAACGATGCTCTGGAACATTTTTTTTGCGTCTCGGCGGCTTTGCGGTTGCTGGCGGCTGCTTTGGCTTATGTTTGCTGGATACTAATGCTTGTTGGCGTTGCCTACTAGGAGTTGCTATCGGTGATAAGTTTTCTTCATCGCTGCTGTCATTATCTATTGTGATCTTTTGAGCACGGTTTCGTGAAGAGTTCTTGCGCAGCGTTGAACATCTTCGAGGAAATGCGTTTAATTCTGCCAAACGACTAGTGGTAAATTCTAATCCATAGTCGGTCTCGTTCTCGTGCTCCGGCGTTTGGAATGCACTTTCCTCGTCAGGAATGGTATCTGAATGAATCATCTTTTTTTTATTTATAATTATGTTTGTCGTTGATTATAGCTTCAATAAATGAGCTTAGCATAAAATCTGAAACGCCGCAAAAAAAAACAAACTAAATTGCCGCGTTTTTCCAAAGCATCGCTGTGTATGTAAGGGATGCAAAACGAAATTACATATTTATATACCACTGCACAAGTTTTAAATACAACCGTTTGAATGTAGTATTTTTAGTATTTCTTTTTTAAATTTGTATTTTTTAGTATCTTACCAAACAGTCACACTGGCATTGTTTTGCTATCAAGCTTCAAAGTAGAGATGTCAGAAGATAATAATAATGGCAAAGAATATATATTGGATGCAGACTCTGAGCTGCGATTCGAAATCGAGCAAAAGGATGCCAAAGTGTTCGTGACGGTATTGTGTATATTAATTTGTTGTCTCTGAATCTATAATACATTTATAAATCGTACTTCAGCTCATCTCTGGGTTTGCAGAACTCTTTGGCACCGAATTAGTAAAGAAAAAGAAATATGAATTCGGAATAGGAGCAAAAGTGGCTATATTTACCTACCAAGGCTGCGTGCTGCAAGTAACGGGCAAAATGGATGTCTGTTATATTTCTAAAGAGACACCAATGATACAATATATAAACTGTCATGCAGCATTGGAGCAATTTCGTACCGATGCCGAAGAACACGATAAACGGGGCCCAGTTATTCTAGTAGTAGGGCCCATGGACGTGGGCAAGAGTACCCTCTGTCGCATTCTGTTGAACTATGCTGTACGAGTAGGCCGAAGACCGCTTTATGCAGATCTCGATGTGGGCCAAGGTGCCATTTCAATCCCTGGCAATATAGCCACTATTCTCATTGAACGGCCAGCCAGCGTTGAAGAAGGATTTGCGAAAACAGCGCCTTTAGTTTACCACTTTGGTCACAAATCTCCTAGTGGCAACAGCGTGCTCTACAACGCTGTAGTATCGAAAATGGCGGAAGTAACACTGCAATCGTTAGACGCCAACAAACGAAGTATACCATATAAAATATTACTTCAATTGCTTTACGCCTAATGTAATTTTGTTGCAGCCAAAAGCTCAGGCATCATTGTCAACACGTGTGGTTGGGTTAAGGGCTACGGCTATAAGCACTTGCTGCATGCAGCCCGAGCTTATCGCGCTCGTGCGATTTTTGTATTAGACCAGGAGCGTTTATACAATGACCTGTTGCGGGATGTACCGAGCAACGTTCATGTTGTCCTCTTGCCAAAAAGTGGCGGCGTGGTAGAGCGCACTAAAGAATTACGGCATGAATCGCGCGAGCAACGTATAAAGGAATATTTCTATGGCAATATGCGTACGCCTTTTTATCCATTTTCGTTCGAAGTCAAATTTCAAGATCTGCGTCTTTACAAAATTGGCGCTCCCCCATTGCCTGATTCCTGTATGCCCATTGGTATGAAAGCGGAAGATAACAAAAAAAAAGTTGTAGCGGTTACACCGACGTCATCTCTACTACATCACATTCTCACGCTAAGCTTTGCAGAGTCTACGGATGAAAATGTCATTGGCACTAATGTTGCTGGGTTTTGTTGCGTGTAAGTTAATTTATATTATTTTATTAGTACATCGCTATATATTTGTACTCCTCTCGTTAAAGTACTGAGGTGGACATGGAGCGTCAATCTGTAATGCTGCTCTCTCCACAGCCACGTCCTTTGCCGCCGAATGCATTGTTATTGTGGTCTGAATTACAGTTTATGGACAATCATGCCTAACGTATGGATTAATTCACAAATGTAGCTTTTAATTTAAATGTATTTTGTTGGATGTCTAAAATAGATTGGAATTTTAAACCAATTCTGGAAAATTTTCAAACGGTACATACATAGATGTTATTGCAAAACAAAAACAATCAAATTAAAAAAAAAAAAAAATATTTAATTGAATGAAAATAATCTCTTTTTTATTTATTTTCATAAATGTAGACATGTATAATAATTACGTTAAAAAAATATGTTAAGTGAAAACGCAATTAGACACTCACAATTACGTATATCTGGATGTGTAATCGATATTCAGATCGCCAATTTTAATTATATGAGCCGGTTATTTTCAGTGCTCCCAACAAGTAGCGGGAAATTTTAAATTGATTTACTTAGCTATTGAAAAAAATTGCATTTCATGCTCTTTAAACTATGGCCAATCACTAGTTGGCCAATATAGTTTCATTGTTTCTAGCTATTCTATTACATAAAATCCAAAGCCACTCACCATATTTAAGTTTTGCGAAATACTATCTTAGGTAAAATACTGAAAATAATTTGTAAATCAAAACCGAGAAATACTTTGATTACCCATTCTATATTTAAAGACTTTTAAAATCTTTGATATGAAAAGGCCACCATGTGAAATTGTACGGATGTATGTGAAAACAGCCCAGTTGAAAAGAAAAAACATTGTACTTTTTACTTTTTGCACAACCAGTCTAATTAGCATTAACTAGTAGTTAGTGTTGCTAGTGAGTAGCAGAAGTAAGTGTTCAAGCAACGGCAATGGTATTAATTGATTATTAATATCAAAAATTCTCATTAAATAAAAAGTACATTTTATTAATTAGAAATTTATTTGTTAGAATTTTCTTGCTATTTTGACTTGGTGATTCGGTTTGTAAAAGCACTGAAGAGTTGGCAGCTCTGTTTATTTCTAAAGAAACTACTCAATTGGGACTGCTAGTCGATATTTCATTCTAACTGAAATAGACAATAATCTGGTTTTGTGCTATAAAAAGGACCATATGTATGTATGTAAAGTACGGAATTATTGAACATTATTTAAGGGTACTAGACTAAACAATCATTTACGCCGATTTTTGTTTATTTTTCCAATTATTTATCTATGATGTGAAAGTTAAATAATTACATTAGATTCAAAGAAATTTTAAAGGCTAGTCCGAAATTAATCATATTCTGTTAATAACAGATTAGTCAATGTTAAATTTATTTTTTCTGTTATGATTGCTGAATTGCTGAACTGATATATGGCTGCTTACATGTAGTATCGAGTATACTTGGGTAAAAGCAGCTCATTGAGGTGAACCGGCTCACTCGCTCTTTTTTGTGAAGTGAGCCAACTCACTCATATGGCTCACTGGCTCACCTGCTGATTGCCCGTGAGCAAGCAACTTGAAAGAAAAAAACTGTCAAAATACGTTACATTTAAACTAAAAAAAACGACATTTAAAATTTGTTTCTTAAAACTAACAGAACAAACTTTTAATAAAATATATATTATTTTAGCTCCCTTCATTGGGAATATAATGAGCGAGTGAGTAAAAATGCGCTAGTCAACCAAAATGAGCTAGTGAGCCAAAATGAGCCATATAGAAGGAACTGGCTCACTGCCTCAGTTCAGTGAGCCATTCATTTTAGCTCACTCACTCATGAGCTACCCAAGTCTAGTATCGAGTACTACTCGACGATTAGTATCGAGCGTGAAATAGAAGCATCACAAGGTTTAATAAATTAAAGTTATTCAAACAAATTGCAACAAAATGGCTTCCGCTTTGCGTCTCGAATGTCGTTTTAAGTGTAAATCGCATGCGTTCTCGCAGTATTTTAAAATATTGTGTACATCGTCTTGTTAGTTGTGTGTCTTGCTCCAGTGTACAAAAAAAAAAAAAACAAGTTCAACCTGGTGTAATTTAAATAAATGTACATATATCTAACGTATGGCCCCACGAAGCGACAATATGACTTGCTATTGATAGAGACTTGTAAAACGTCAAGCTAGTGTCATAGCTTAACATATTTGTGTGTTTACAGTTACCGGCATGTTCCACGTCAAAGACTCTACCAAAGGAAACAACACAATAAAACACAATACTTAATAATAACAATGGCGCATTTCTTGCAAAAGCAAAAACAAGAACCGAAGTGAGGCAAGGCCTTGACGAGGCATTCTCTGTTCAAATCTGTATTAACAATTGGCGTTTGCAGTTATGTGAAAAAATGTATCTGTGTGAAAAAATGCAATATACTTGGCCATCGGAAAACTCAAAATTGTGACAGTGGTGTCCGGTTGATTTGCGCTTCTCCGAATTTTTATTTCCAATGATTTTGTTCTTGGGTCGGAGCGTCTAAAATGACTCGTCGTCCACACAGAAGTGATTATAATAATATTAAGTTTAAACAATTTCGCAAAGTAACACTGATAAAATGTGTAACAAATTTCAGCAGAATTTCCCACTTTAGTTATGTGATAAATATTTTC